TTGGTCTTCCAAAAGAGGACGATATCCGCTTCGTCATGCCTAGAGCTGATCCGTGCTGGTCGCTGAGGGAATATCAACTTAGTGCTGTGGATCGCCGGCACATTTTATGGAGGACGGTTTACTGATCCTGGGAGAGTAACGTTAGACTAAAATGCCGGCATTTCTGACTCACCTAAGTACGTTTTCTTTTATCATTTGCCACTGATGATTCAAACGCGAGTTTTGGGCAGTGTAGAGTAGCACTTGTTGTTTGTCATTTCTCCGATCACAAATGCAGACAGGGTTTTATGTTTACACGGCACGATGCAATGCAACGTAACGCGTAAAAATACAGTATAAGTCATTATAATCAGTAATTATGTCCCCACTGGATGCAACAAATGCCTCGTTTGTAATGGTTTTTAATGTTTTTGTGTCGTAGCTCCGGCCGGGACACGGCATCAACAGTATGGTGAGGGGCATAACATTTCCGTCACATGCTTGACGTATTCGGCCAATCACAACACACTGGATAGCTGGCCAATCAGAGCACACCTCGCTTTTCAGACCAATGAGTTTGTAAAAATCAATGCGTTTCAGAAAGGCGGGGCATAGAGGAGAAACGATGTACAGTATGTGGAAAATAATGTGTTTTTTTTACTTTAAACCACATAAACACATTTCATTACACCAAATAATGTTCTCTTTAGCAGCATCATATGACCCCTTTAAATTTCTGTGTGTATCATAAACATACGATGTATGACTGTATAAAACAGTGGTTCCCAAACTTTTTCGGCCGGACCCCCCTTTTGTAGAGAAAAATATTTTCAGGCCCAAACACTCTCCCTACACTTTTTTATTTATTTTTTTTAGAAAGTCTCTTATGCTCACCAAGGCTGCATTTATTTATAAAAAATACAGTAAACACTGTAATATTGTGAAATGTGTCCATTTAAAATATCTATTTGAATGTTTTAACATATACTGTATTGCTGTGATCAAAGCTGAATTTTCAGCATCATTACTCCAGGCTTCAGTGTCACATGATCCTTCAGAAATCATTCTAATATGCCGATTTGCTGCTCAGTAACATTTCAGATTATTTTAATGCTGAAAACAATTTTGCTGCTTCATATTTTTGAAGAAACAATTTTTTCATGATTCTCTTATGAATATATATATGCACCCTCTCAAACATGATCTTGATTGCAAAATTATATATATTATATAATATAAAATATTGTGATTAACATAGTCCTACTTAACTAGCCTACTTGCCGTCTAAACTTGTTCGGCTTCATTACCCACCTTTGTACTGGTGAATCTGAGGGCGAGATATGCCTAGTCATATTTTCTTGTCTTTTCACCACACTGGACGCGACAAAGTGAACATTGCAGAGAACATCACTGGATTCTATTTGCTTTTGTTGCATCGGGCCGCTCTCGTCTGGTGTAGACCAAGCGGCAACCTCCCCCTCTCTCTCGTGAAGCCAACAAGGAAGTGACTTAAACTGTAATTCGTCAACTGGCAGCTAGAGGCTGGCTGCAAAATGGAGTCAATCCCATAGACTCCCCATGTTAAAATGCCCAACTTTACAGCAGAAAAAAACATGTTTACAGCCTGGTTCAAAAAATGATTTTGGTCTATATAGCTAATTTTGCCCTTCATGACCACTGTTAGGGGGGTGAGTTTTTTTATAACTCATCCGTTTAAATTAAATTAATCCTTAAAGTTCTGCATAATTAAGGGCGTGGCCACTTGAGTGACAGGTGGATTGCCGCTGCTGTCACCACCATTGAGCTAGGTGGGCGTGGTTTCAACAACCAGCTCTCTTTGCCCATCTTCGATTATCCGGGAGTGACGCGCGGTGACGCACTGCCAAGATGGCGATGGCCGCCTCCTCCCACTTTTGAGCTTCAAAAACTCACTTCGGAACCCTACGGGTGACGTCACGGACACTACGTCCATGTTTTTATACAGTCTATGGTGTAGACACGTTGTTTAGGTATTTGTGAATCTTAAGTATATTCATCATCTGCTTTACGGTTACCTGGCACTGGAAGTTCCTTTCACAAACTTGTAACTTTTATGCTTAGAGCAGAACCATGCGTCGTTCATTTATATTTCTACATGGCTCCCTGCAATACAACTCTTGATTATTCAATCGCGCCATCTAGTGGTCTGTTACTGATACAACCACAAGTGCAACAACTGATAACGGAGCCTTCAAGCGGGTGCTGCGAGTCATGTTGAGGTCATTAACATATGTCAAATTAATATTTTGCACTTAAATTATTAACTTATCAGGCAATGATAAGCGGGAAAATTACGCAGTGTAGTCTTTATCACCCTGCGCAGGTTTCTTTTGCAAAATAATCTGCTGACTTTACACTATCCCTCAGCCTTGCCGTGCCCCCCTTGTCATAGCTCCGCGCCCCTCTGTTTGGGAACCACTGGTTTATAACATATGATGAAAGTTTTACCTACAAGGACACGGTAAAACTGTCATGAAGTGACTCTCAGAGCAGTTCTGGAGATGTTCTTCATGTATTTATGTCCTCATTTAGAGAGTCGGCAGATGCTGAAATCACCTTGAGCATCACACGCAATTCAGTATGTGTGTAGTAAACAAAACCACGCGTCTGCGCCATTCATTCACACAGAAACAGGCAGAACATGTCTTTTTTGCGGCTTAACTTTCACAGATACTAGTCCATATTGTGATTTAAGTGTAATGACCTACTTTTGATTAATTCATTTCAAGTTTGACAAATTCCGTGACAATCCTCATTATACAGTACATTCCGTTTTTATGGCTGGATTCCGTGATTCCGTCCATGTTTTCCACATCGTGGAAATCATATGGCCCTACAGTAGGTGACACTTTAAGCAAGTATTATTTTCAAAGAAATTATGCTTGAGCTATTCTCAGAACTTTTTTGATTCGTTCTTTTCCAATGACCTTTAAAGTCTGTAATATTTTTTTGTCAACTAAGATATAGGAATAAGAATAATCGTAAGGGCACGATGAGTGTAAGGGGCGTTTTCAAAGGTTGTTTGAAAATATGCTTTATTTTTGTAATTATTTTCTGTTATTTAAATCATTTAATATTTCTATATTCAAAATTTTATTTTTTAAAATGAATTTAATTGCACTCATGCGACCTCTGAGCCTCATTAAACGTCTGAAAATACACCTACAAGCCACTTGTGTGTTCCTTCTGTGCCAACTAAGGTACACATAAATTTCTTAAATACTGATTTCATTTGATCGGTAGCTTAATCTTATTCTACTTCTTATTCCACTTGTTTTTATTCTGTTGTTTTAATTAGAAATGTTAAAAAGCTTATAAATATATTTTTTGGGAATTTGACATAAAAGATTACATACTTTTAATTAAGTTAGAAAAATGCCATTACAAGGGTAAAAACAAAATTCCCTGTAAATCACTTTAAGGAGTCAAATACAGTCATGGCCAAAAATATTGGCACCCTTGGTAAATATGATCAAAGGCGGCTGTGAAAATTAATCTGCATTGTTAATCCTTTTGATCTTTTATTTAAAAAATTCACAAAAATCTAACCTTTCATTGGATAATAAGAATTTAAAATGGGAGGAAATATCATTATGACATAAATGTTTTTCTCAAATACACGTTGGACACAATTATTGGCACCCCTAGAAATTATTATGAGTAAAATATCTCTGAAGTATATTCCCATTCATATTCACAATTTTGAGCACTCCAGGGTGATTATGAACATGACATTATCCAGCCATGGCTTCCTGTTTCACAGGAATATAAATAGGAGGGAAAACAAAGCCCAAATTCCCTTAATAGTCCGTCACAATGAGAAAAAACACAGAATATATTTCTGATGTGCAGCAAAAGATAATTGAGCTTCACAAATGAGTGAAATGACTTTAAGAAAAGAGCTAGAGCAGTGAAAATTCCCAAATCTAAAAGTGACTGACTCTGTTAGAAATCTTATAATGGGCCATGTTTGGATCTTCCAACCGTACATAAATCCAAACACAAACCTCAAAAACAACACAAAAATGGGTCACTGGGCACAAAACCAAGCTTCTGCTATGGCCATTCCAGTCCTCTGACCTGAACCCTAGAGAAGATGAGTGTGGTGAACTGAAGAGGAGAAGCACCATCATGGAGCTGGAAATCTGAAGGGTCTGGAGTGATTCTGGATGAAGGAATGGTCTCTGATCTCTTGTCAGGTGCTCTCTAACCCCATCAGGCATTATAGGAGAAAACTCAGAGCTGTTATTATGCCAAATGAAGGTTTCAAAAAGCATTGAATAAAAGGGTGCCGTTAATTGTGGCCAATGTGTATTAGAGAAAAACATTTGTCATAATGATATCCCCCCCATTTTAAATTCTTATTATCCAATGAAAGGTTAGATTGTGAATTTTTTTTTATAAAAGATCAAAAGGATTAACAATGCAGATTCATTTTCACAGCCTTCTTTGATCATATTTACCAAGGGTGACGATATTTTTGGCCATGACTGTATCATCTCGTAACGGGAAGGTCCAGGTTACTGATCCTGGGAGAGTAACGTTAGACTAAAATGCCGGCAGTTCTGACTCACGTAAGTACGTTTTTGATCTGAATTTTTGATTATTGATTAGAAGGTGCTCCTAAATTTTTGACCGTGCTTCTAAATTTTTTAAACTAGGAGCACAAGCACTCCTAAAAAGAAAAGTAAGCATAGAGCCCTGGGCATACTTTGCTTTTAAGGAGATTTTGCTTTATACAGAGCGCAACGTTGTGATACTTACTGTTGCCACTGCAGTCGTACCATACTCCTCCCTTGTCCTGAGACATCTGCAGCTGAGTCTGTAATCGCTGGCACTCCTCATCGGTGGTCTGCAGAAACAGGACCGGCAGCTTCTTGACGGTACACCACTCACATCTGGTCAGCTCCGCCGACCGCAAGAAAACGTTCTCCAACACATTCATATCAGGACCTTCAATCACAACACCACAAGTCTTATTTTACACAAAAGTCATAATAGTGACTGAATGAACCACATGTAACATTGCATTCTACTTTATTTTTTATTTTTTTTAAATGCCTTACCTTCTGTCTCCAGCTGTATGCTTTCCACTGTAAACTAGAAGAAGAAAAAACAACCCACAATGAATAACAAAATTCTCTCAAAGAAAACACACTAGATGTAACGTACTTTTATGTTAGAGGTTGACTGACATACTGGTTTTACAGATTAATTTCAAGCAGAAAGCAACTATTATTGATTATCAGAAAAAAACAAACATATCTTAACAGCAATAGTTTACAATGGTTATTCTTTGAATGCTGCATTTATGTATACATTTAAAATTTTGTACTTATTTTATTTTTTTTTACTTACAGTCCATACCTATTGTCACATTATTTCTAATATTCTAATAAGGTTATGCACCATTTTACATTGTTTTCTTTTTATATTATTGATTTTAAAAACTTTTAAAACAAATTGTCTGATTTATCGGTATATTAGACAGATTAGTTACCAGTAGTGGTCGACCGATATGGGTTTTTTTTGACAGCCAATGCCGATATCTTGGAAAGCAGGGTGGCTGATGGCCGATTTAAAACCGATATAATTTTATTTATATTTAAGAAATTTGAAATCATTTGAAAATGGATTAAAAATAATTGTGTAAAATAAACATACTTATACTTTAGAAGACAAAGCATTTTCACAAATAAATAAATATTAAAAGGGTCATATGACGCGATTTAATTTTTTCCTTTCTCTTTGGAGTGTTACAAGCTCTTGGTGCATAAAGAAGATCTGTAAAGTTGCAAAGACTAAAGTCTCAAATCCAAAGAGATATTCTTTATAAAAGTTCAGAGTCAGCCACGCCCTCCTAAAACGGCTCGTTCTAACACGCCCCCACATATCTACGTCACGATGTGGGAAGATTTGCATAACGCCGCCCAAATGTTCACGCAAAGAAAGAAGGCGTAACTTTTATTCTCACTGTAGTATTATTGACGCTGCAGCCATTGTCCTGAAGACGCTGTGTGCTTCGTTGTGAAAGCGAAACTACTTTATTTGGTCTTCCAAAAGAGGACGATATCCACTTCGTCATGCCTGGAGCTGATCCGTGCTGGTCGCTGAGGGAATACATCAACCTAGTGCTGTGGATCGCCGGCACATTTTATGGAGGACTGTTCACTGATTCTGGGAGAGTAACGTTAGACTAAAATGCCGGCAGTTCTGACTCACGTAAGTACGTTTTCTTTTATCATTCGCCACTGATGATTCAAACGCGAGTTTTGGGCAGTAGAGTAGCACTTGTTGTTTGTCATTTCTCCGATCACAAATGCAGACAGGGTTTTATGTTTACGCGGCACGATGCAACGCAATGTGTAAAAAGACAGTATAAGGGGCCGTTCACATATCTTTTGCGCGCTCAAGTTCGTTATTTCAAATGTAGACGCGTGGCAGGCGCGTTCATAATGGAAGCGACGTGGTCGCAACGCGCACGCAGTGCGACACGCTCATCTTTTCCAGGTGCGTCCGCGCCACATCGAGATAAACACATTTCAACTTTTCAGAATGCTGCAAGCGCACCGCGGGTCATGTGACATGAACTAACCAATCAGC